CCCCCCCGCCCCAACCATCAAGCCCAATGCTGATGCTTGAGATTGATGGTTTTATCAGGAAAACGCTTCTATGCTCACCGAATTTGCCTGCTTGCTTCTTCTGATGCATTTCGAGCAATGTTTGATGGTGGTTACAGGGTAATTCAGATTCATTTACGTTAATCTCTTTTGCTCCTACTTTATTCCTGTTTTATGCCTTTTAAATCTTACATGCTATCTATATATCTAACCAGTTTGTTTTTTATATTACAGGAGAAGGAGGCAAAAGACATTGAGATTCCAAATATTAAATGGGATGTCTTTGAGTTGATGATGAGGTAAAAATCTTCTCATGAATGGCTAAAGGAGGTAAATCGGAACACAATAATGGTCTAACTGCTGGTTCATTTTCTTGATGACAGATATGTTTATACAAGATCAGTTCAGGTTAATTTGGACATTGCTCAGGATCTTCTACGTGCTTCTGATCAGTATCTTCTTGAGGGACTTAAATGTCAATGTGAATATGCAATAGCCAAGGTTAGTTAATACGTGATCCAATCATCCGAGTTCTTCCCTTTATATGTATATTTATGCACGCATTTAGCAACTTGTTTTTCTGACAATATGTTCACTTCTTTTGAAGGACATGTCTGTGGAGAACGTCTCCTTCATGTTTGAGTTGTCTGAGGCTTTTAATGCTCTTTCTTTAAGAAGTGCATGCATTCTTTTCATACTGCAGAACTTTGACAAACTAAATGCCATTCACTCGTAAGCTAATCTTATCCTTATACCTTAAGAATTTAAGAAATAGATACTAGTGTTGACTGTAATGGATGTAGTTAAACCGTGTCTTTGTTCTTGTTATGCAGCTTCTCTGAACTGATTGAGCGCATGTTGCCCGAGATTCGCAGTTACTTTGTGGGAGCACTCGCTAGACCAAGTCAAGCTTATTCGCAGCGATAGTTTATAGTCCTGGCATTAGTTTTTTTGTTTCTTTTGGTCAATTTTTTGGGGTCCATAAGTAGAAAAGATGTATAGAATTTGGTTAGCTGTTTTTTTTTGTAGTGTTAATTAGTCCATTACCATATAGCTATTTCTGATCAGGCATTGTGTGTCATCTTTGGTTGAATGTTAATGTCATAGTGCTATTCTTTCTCCAAACTGGCCTTGGGCTTACATTACCACTCTTTTGAGTGCATATTTGATCAATTTTCAGTTTGCATTTACTATTTAGATGAGTACTTGGGTTCAAAGTTGTGTGCTCCCTAGACATTGTTGTTTGGTAACTTCTAAAGTATTAAACACTACTCAGTAAAGTTTTATGGTTTACATTTATTTAGAAAAAAAGATTTATGAGCCATTCATTCTTTTTGTTTTGAGCTTAAACAAGAATATCATTAGTAAGCTTTAGTACTCACTAAAATTTTATGATTAACATTTGTTTTATTGTTTTACATATTTTCATTGATTATTAGATAAAATAATATAATTTTGTCAGTTTTTATTTTTTAAAATTTTTGATATAATTTGTTAATTTTTATTTTTTAAATTCTTTACTCATTTTTCCAATAAATTAAAAAATTTAATATAAGATTAGCCAAAAATCATGCTTACAACTTAAAGTTACAATACATGGACCAATCATGTTTGGTTTGGGCTTAGTATACTTGGCGAACAGTTTTTAATTCAAATACGAAGCCCAATTATGTGATTTGCTCAGAAGTCAGAACCATACACCGAAAGACGTGAAAATGTTTCCACGTCTGGTTCGGACGTCCGTCGCCGCCGGGCGCCTTTTCTCGACGGGAGCTACTCAGGCGGTTGAGGCAACGAAGCCTACAGCCTCGGAAGGCGGCGCCGGATGCATCGCTGCCACCAGAAAGGCAGGCAGGGATACTCCGGTGAGGAGTCGCTTAGGTCTTGTGCACCCCAATCGGAGTGCCGGAATCACCAAGGCGGTTGCAGAAACGAATCCTACAGCCTCTGATGGCGGCGACGGAGACGGAGGCATCACTTCCAGGAGAAAGGCAGGCAAGGATACTCTGGGGAGGAGGCTTTTAAGTCTTGTGTACTCTAAGCGGAGCGCCGTAATCACTATCCGGAAATGGAAGGAGGAAGGCCACGCCGTCAAAAAGCACGAGCTCGTCCGCGTTATTCGAGAGCTTCGCAAGCTCCGGCGTTACAAACACGCGCTCGAGGTATTTCAGTGACATCAATCAGAGAAATTCTTCAATTTCCCCCCCCAAATTTATCTCAATTTGGACTATCTATATATTAGGGTTATGTGAAGTTTTTTTAGAATATGTGAATGTTCAGGGAAATCTATATTTGCGAATATCCAACAAAAGCATTTTTTGTTTGGAAGTTTTACCATGGTTGTTTACCTTCTCATTGAGATTTTTTGTGAATACTAAAGTATATATGAACACTAAGTATTATGTTGTTTGATTGGCAAAGAAATATGTGATGTAGAAGCAAAAGAAATTTGAGCTCATTTAGTCTTCTTCTTAAAAGAAAAATCTGTGAGTTGGTATGTCTTTCGTCCTGCAAAATGCAGTGTTTTTCATGTTAGGTCGTCATAATTTTGAAAAAAAAATTCATGCCTATACTCCCAAAAATTTGAAAGTTTACATGAATGCTAGAGGATTGCGTAATTATCAATCTTGGAATAATATCCCGATTATTGTAGTAAGAATATTGTGAATTTTCTTGGAGTGCTAACTGCTAACAATGATTATGCAATCCTGTAAAGTCTCATATTTTTTTGGGAGTATTGCCATGAATTTTTCCTAATTTGTTTTGTTATTCATCCTTGTAATTTATTGACACGAAATTTTCCCCATTTGTTTTGTTATTCATCCTTGCAATTTATTACGTTGTTTCTCTAATCCATCTCTGTCAAAATGACACATTGGGTTTTCAACACAATTTTTTTCTGGGCTTAGATTAGAACCTAAAGCCAAAAAAACCAAATTACATAAATGAATGCTTTGTACTGAAAGTGAGCGTACTAACATAAACTGTGGATTTCCATTTACGACAGGTTTGTGAATGGATGAGGCTACAAGATGATATCCACCTTTTATCGGGTGATTATGCAGTCCATTTGGATCTGATAGCAAAGGTTCGAGGCATAAATAAGGCCGAGAGTTTCTTCAGTGAAATACCCAGTAACATGGTAGACTACTGGACATATAGTGCCCTTCTCCACTGCTATTCCCAGGAAAAAGACACTGATAAAGCCGAAGCCCTTATGAAAAAGATGTCCGAGTGTGGCCACTTGAAGCACCCACTTCCTTACAATCACATGCTGTCTCTATACATATCAACAGGCCAATTAGAGAAGGTCCCAAACACAATTCTTGAGTTAAGGAAGAACACGTCACCAGATATTGTCTCCTACAACCTTTTCTTGGCTTCATGTTCGTCACTGAACGACTTCGAAACTCCAGAATTGATATTCCTCGAGCTGAAGAAAGCCAAGATTGAACCCGACTGGATAACATTCAGCACGATGGCCAGTATCTACATCAAAAGTTCACAGAACGAAAAAGCAGAATCCACTTTGAGAGAAATGGAGAAACGGGTCTTTAAGAGGACCCGCATTGCGTTTCCCTCTCTTGTTAGTTTGTACACGAACCTGAAAAACAAAACCGAGGTGCGCCGCGTTTGGAAGAAGATGAAATCTATTTACCACAAGCTGAACGATTATGAATACACTAGCGCAATATCTTCACTGCTGAAGCTCGACGATTTTGAAGGGGCAATGGAGATCTACACCGAGTGGGAGTCTGTTTCACCCACTAAGGACACCAGAATCTCAAATCTGATTCTTGGAGGTTACGTAGAGAAGAATCAGTTGGACATGGCAGAGAGTTTTATAGAAAAGATGGTTCAGAAAGACATCCCCCCCAGCTATACAACATGGGAGATACTTACATGTGGGTATTCGAAATGTGGGAAGGTGAACGAAGCTTTGGCTTCATTCAAGAAAGCCCTCAGTTGTGTCAAGAAGTGGGAACCCAATGCGAAGATAGTCCGTGAGATGTTTGGCGCGCTTGAAGAGCAAGGGAACGTGGAAATGGCCGAAGATTTGGTGGTCATACTTCGCGAAGCTGGCCATGTGAGCACAGAGGTGTATAACTTGCTCCTGAGAACTTACAAGAATGCTGGTAAGATGCCACTCATTGTTGCTGAGAGGATGAAGAAAGACAATGTTGAAGTGGACACAGAGACTGAGGAGCTCATTAGATTGACTAGCAAACTGTGTGTAACTGAAATTCCTAAACATCTTTCTTAGGAAAGATTAAGGGCTTGTTTGGTTGGGGGATTTAGTGAGGTGGATGCTAGGAAAGTATTTTCTTAATCTGCCTCTGTTTATTTGTTTGGAACAATCCTTAAGCTTTTTTATTATCAGCGGTCCATTTTTGCGGAGGTTTGTTGTACAATGCCACATTTTAAATTTTGAACTAGGCGACATAAGACTTGTTTTTATAATTCAAAATAAATATAGGGTGTAGAATAACTATGAGTATGTTTAGTTCAGTGGCAACGAAACGTTCCCTTCTATTTGTGCCCAACAAAAATATATGTAGGGAATCATTGAACTATTTTTTTATTATTCTCAGTTATACTCAACCTAGTAAGTGTAGTTATTGTAGAATACATTTTCCACAATTTCACCCTATAAAGTTATTATATTACTCCTTCTATTCATCAAAAATATTCTCATTATGCGTTATGAGGTTTCACTTACTTTATTTTCAATTCTATTTATTTGATTGTAGAGGTAAAGTTTAAAAATATTAAGTGAGTTAAATTTTACCCCGTGAATATTAACTGGTAAGAGTATAATTTTTTTAGACATCCCAAACACTAATGTGTTCAAAGAAGAGTCGTTCATTTATGACTTTTTGCATTAATCTCAACACTTCTAAGTGAAACCATCTATGACTTACACTTCTAAGTGAAACCATCTATGATTTTTTTTTTGTGCAAAACTTTATGTGGTTTTAGTTTTAAGACAGTGAATGGAGTAAAGTAATCTATTACTACCTCTGTCCCTGAGTATTTATCTACTTTTGACTTTTTTCGGTGAACTATTTTCTATCTTTGACCTATAATTAAATAAAATATATATTGTATTTTAATTAAATAAAATAATATTTTGAAAATATTTGATATAATAAATCTAATAAAACTCTTTTTGTATCAATATATAATATCAATTTTATTTAATTTAAGGTCAAAGTTTACTAATTTTAACAAAAAAAATCAAAAGTGGACAAATGGAAAATGGAGGGAGTAAAACATTAAGATATATTTACGTCAATTCATTTTTTTTGTATTTCACAAATTAGATTAATTTGATGCAGAAAACAGCAGTTTTCGCAGTATACAGGGGCGATGGCTGTACAGCTTTCCTGTGCGTGGCTTAACGGTGCCGCAATCCCTTCCACGGCCGGACGTTATCCTCACTGCCGGAGCATTCCTCCGACGGCTCTCTCTGCGGCGGCGTGCGCTTCTTTTCCTCCATCTTCTGTCGAGGCAAGTCTCTGTATCCGGATACACACACACACCTTCTAACTCTTAGATTAGATTTCCTCAAGGCTTCTAATTCGAAGCTCCCTCAGCATAAATTCATTTTCTTTAAAAGCAAATTTATGGGTCGCCATTGATAATCTGTAACTCCTGAGGAGAAAAGTAAAAATATTCCTCCGGAAATCTCGTTTGTAAAGGGGAAATTTCGTTTGTAAATATAGAACTGAACCAATTTCAACCATATATTTTTTAGGGTTGTTGTGGAGTCCTGTTTTAGAATTGAGCCAAAATCCTTATTTCGCAACTACTTCAAAACCCAAGGGATTTGCATTTGGGTTCAAGATAAGGAAATCTTGAGGTTTGCCCAACAGGATTTGGATTTGCAATTCTAGAATTGTATATTCTTGAAGGCCTACAGATTAGCTTATATTTTTATTTTCCTATTTGAATTTTGAATCTATATCATTTTTAGCATTTTGGAATTTGCAGATCATTGGTGGAAAAACTAATGAGTTGTACTTAAATGAGAGTTCAAAACTTTGTACTATTTTAGAGGGATGCCAAGAAAAGTATGATTGGAATGATTTGGAGACTGATCTCTATTACTGGACAAAACAACTAAGACCAGTTCAGGTATGTCTAGACTGTAGGCTCTTGATTTGAATTCTTTCCGCTTAAGGGTAATATGATTGCAGCTTCATTTTTGTAAATCTGGATGTGCCCATTGCCAATGGAGCTAAAATAGTCATTTTAACACTGTTTTAGGTATAGGTAAATAATGGACTAAATCAGTATGACCCTTTAAGCTTATCTTGCTTCTTACTTTCTATGAATTTTTGGGCAGTAAATGTAACGATGCATCAAGTGTCTTAGGGAAACAACCTCTCTGTTTTTTACAGTGATAAGGTTGCTTACATCTTGACATCATCCCCCAATAGAATTGTGATTATACTGGGTTTGCTCTTGCTTGTTGTTAATCACGAATCTTTTTTTTGTTTCAGAAAATGAAAGCGATTTAATATTAATTACATACAAACTGAGGCTTCTATATATGTAGTGGTATCCTGGCCATATTGCCAAAACCGAGAAAGAGCTCAAGGAACAGCTGAAATTGATGGATGTTGTCATAGAGGTTCGCGATGCAAGGATTCCTATGTCAACTAGTCATCCCCAGGTCAAATTATTTTCTTTGGTGTGTGCCTGTAGTGGTGGAGGAGTGGGGGGGGGGTATCAGATTGTCATTGACAAGATATTCTTAAGCAGATGGACTCCTGGCTCGGTACTAAAAAACGCATTTTAGTTTTGAACCGGGAGGATATGGTATCTGGGGCTGATCGAAATGCTTGGGCTGCTTATTTTGCTAGTCAAGGAATAAAAGTTGTGTTCTCCAATGGACAACTGGGTATGGTACGTAAAAGTGTATAGCTCACTACTTAACTTATAGGGAGTACTTCATAACTTTCCAATAAAGGTCAAAAGGTAAAAAATGCAACAAAAATACACCCTTTCCATTGAATAGAGAGGAACACTTTGAACTTTCCTCCATTATCCTTAATTTGTGTCTAATACATAAGGGACTATAATTTTGGGAGAGAAGTAACAACAATAACAACCTAGTAGAATCCCACAATAGTAGGGTCTGCGGAGGGTGTGTGTACGCAGACCTTACCCCTTCCTACTTGGGAGTTGGGAGATGGTTTAGATGGGGTAAAAGATGGTTTTGATTCTGTAATGCAGGGAACCATGAAGCTAAGTCGCTTAGCAAAAACTTTAGCAGGAAGTGTGAACATAAAGCGACGGGCAAAAGGGTTACTTCCTCGTCCAGTAAGTTTCATTCTTTACTCTCAATGTAAAAGGTAGCATCATCCTCCTTGAGCGGTTTGCTAAGCAGTTTTGGGTGAGGTCAAAAGATCTCTCACCTGTCTCTGCTCGACGGTCCGCTCAACTCTGGGCCTGTCCCAGCTAGCTGAAAAGTATACACTTGAATACTTTCCAATAGTTTATTCAACGTCACGGCAAGGTTATAATAGTGATTTCTTTAATTTTGTTAAGCACACAATAAGTTATGATAATAATAAGATTGACAACATCATAATGGATTTCATCTTGCATTGGTAGTCATGCTTACACAGTTACACCTGGAAATAGCTCAAGTGATAAGTGGTTGAGGGTTAAAAGTCTTTATTTTCCTCTAGCAACTTGAAAGTTAAGTAATGTTACAGAAGGGTTATAGTTTGCTTCAATAGTTTTATGCTTTGATGATATTTGTTCTTCAACTCAACTGCTTCATACATATTATTGATTGTAATGTCTTAATATGCATAGTTTGAATTACTTTTGATCTTCACAGGTTCGAGCAGGAATCATTGGGTATCCAAATGTTGGTAAATCATCTCTGATCAATCGGCTACTGAAGCGTCGAATGTGTCCTGCTGCTCCAAGACCAGGTGTTACTCGAGAACTTAAGTATGCCCCCTCATATTTCCTACCTTTTAATTTTTCAAAAGAATAAAATTGTACATAAACAACATTCATTTAGTGTTTTTGTCCTTTTCACGAAATGATTGATATGGAATATAAATTAGCAATTTGGAAAAGGATTAAGAGTTAGCAACTAGCTTTTATAACTTATACTCCCTGCGTCCCATAAAATTCTTGGAGGTTTAGCTTCATGAAGTTAAGAAAGTTGATGAAAAATAAAAAAGTGTGGTTAGAATTTGTTTAGAGGAGAGATAATTGTTGGTAGCCACATATTCATCAAAATAGGGAATGATGTAAGGGTAAAGTTTTCTGGGACATCCATAAAAAGAAAAGTGTAAAGAATTTAATGGGATGAAGGGAGTAAGCTGTAATATTATTCTACCTCACATATTAAAATCCTATTAAACGTTACAACTGAAGAAAACGATGTTGGTGTTTGCTAGTACTCTGTACTTTACAAGTGTACCAAGTAAAAATTGGGCCCACCGAATGAAAGGCTGAAGTCATAGATGAAAGAGTAAAACACAAAGTTAGTGGTGTTATTTTGATATGCACTAAGAAGGGAATTAAATCCTTCAAAATAGAACATATGGAGTAGTTATTTTAAAGTAAAATGTATAATTTGATAAGATGCAAACACAACTCTGCTGAAATGGCAAAACGGGCACCAATTTTGTATCTAGGTATGTCGAGAACAATGTAACTGGTCCAAAGCAGGGGCCTTGGATCTGTCATTTTTACAATTAAGATGCAATATAAACTTCATTTATCTTCCATTTGAAGGCTTTTAATGTGGAGAGGATCTTGTGGAGTTGTGGTACGAAAAAAAGTTGTCTTGTTTCATTTTCTTGGCATCCAAATGAAATCTTACCATCTTTTGTTTTTCACACATTGCTGTGAACAGGTGGGTCCGTTTAGGGAAAGATTTAGAACTGCTGGATTCTCCTGGCATAATTCCAATGAGGATTAGTGATCAGACGTCGGCAATAAAGCTTGCCATATGCGACGATATTGGCGAAAAATCCTATGACGTGACAGATGTCGCTGCTATTCTTGTGCAAATGCTCTCTAGGCATCCTACTTTAGGTATGGTCCATTTCCTTTTTGAGCTCTTTAGTTTGCATAATATTGGCCTTGTTTGGGAACAATGTTTTCACTTAACGTTTTGGATTATTATCGAATGCTGCAGATTAACTTTGAAAATATTAAAGCTAAACGCTGCCGTTAGATAACATTTTCAAAACATTAAAGCTGTAACTAAACAGGCCACTTGTAGATATAGTTTGTTAAAGATAAACCCATTAGCAATCCATCCCATACATAAATAGAACATTGTGTTTATGATTCAATATCAGGGAAGTTTCATTGTTTCTTTTTGTTTAGCCTCTTTTAAATACCGTATTTTTTGGCAATTTTTTCATCTTTTGTCTTAGGCAATAAAGTTCAGGACCGCTACAAAATCAAGATCGATGGCCACTGTGGTAAACTGTAAGTCTATTTGCCTTTGGGTATTTGGAGATTTGCAGGGAAAAGTGAAACACAAGAAAATAACTTCCCTAGGCATTCTGCAAGATCCAAACACACACGTTTCTCATCCTCAATTTCCAGCTGAAAGGAGTTTTATTTTGTTATATATGTTCTTCGGTTTGCAGGTTTGTCCAGAAACTCGCGCTTCAATTGTTCAATGGAGACAAGCACCAAGCATCGTTCCGTATATTGTCAGATTTCAGAAAAGGGAAGTTTGGATGGGTGTCCCTTGAGAGGCCTCCGCGGTGACTTTGCCTACCCTACACGTCGTAAAGCCTCCCCATCTCCTCGATCGGCAAGATATTGCAGCAGGGTTGGACTTTGGTAGACTGTAAAATTAACTGGTCAGTTTTTTCCTTCTTGAACAAATATCAATTTTTGTATAAGATATGTTGTGTTACATCTAGGCGAAATCTTGGACTAAAATATAAAGTGTTATTGTTTAATATAATGAAATGTTTATTTTTACACTTGAAATGTTTAGAAAATTAGATCCTAGTCCTATAGTTAGGATTATTTAGTTGAGTAAGATTAAAGTCTCATTTCAAAAATACTTCATGTATTAACTTCGTCCCATAAAAGTCTTTCTAGTTTGATTTTAACGGAGTTCAAACAAAATGTAAGAAAATGAAAAGCATGTCATAGGTATTTGTTTAGATGAGAGAAAGTTTTTGGGCCATATATAAGTCTAATTTTTTTTTTAGGATATCCAAAAAAGGGAATTTTTATGGGATGGAGAGAGTACTATACAATGTGTAAGTCAAAATTTCAAATAAAAACTCTAATATGTCTCTTGCCTTCACAATTTTGAAAAGACTAAATTCAAAGTTATACCATTCACGAGGTGAAAAAATGTTTCTTTTTTATAAATATTTCAATTGATCATTTGACAAATAACATTGTTATATATTGTCAAATCATGTTTATTGCTTCGTATAACTTATGTTATGATTTTTAAATTTTTATTTCTACACCAATTTAATTAAAAGAAATTGAACTATAAATAATTTTAGTCAGGGTCACACAACAAAAAATATGTACACGCTTTCATAAACAAATAAAACATGTAAACAATATAAATATTTAGATTTAATAGGGCCACAGAGAAATTGCGATGGACGTGGCTTTCATATTTTCCATATGCGATAGGATAGTTTATTTATTTACGTTATTTGACACAATTAAATTTACAGGGAAAGACTCTAATATATGCGAGATGAGACTTTAGATTTCATTTTTCTCATCGAAAAGTGTATATAAATACTCCGTAAATAATACTTTCTCCGTTTCAATTTAAATTGCTTGTTTCAGTTTATAATGTTTTACTTAAATTATTTTCAATACAATTTACTCCGTATTAAAGAATTCGAGCGGAATTAAAAAATATACTTTACATATTAAAAAACTACATCAAAAGTTTTACAAAACAAGATGTAATATGACTATATTATTTTATCAAATAAATAACAAAAATAGGTTAAAAAAATGAATTAAATTTGACAACGTCAATAACAAATTAAATATGTAACTCAATTTAGGAAACGCGGAGTATTTGTCAAAATATAAGACAGGATAAATATATAGTTCCATATAGCATGCTTGTAATCAAATGAGGTGTGTGTCCCTACAATGATTATAATTACTTGCAAAAATGAATGAAAACTAAAAATAGCTTTATTATTCCCTTTTTGATTATCTTGAATTGATTGAGTAATGATAACAATATACCCGTCCATTATAAATTTATTTAAATCTTGATCGATATAAACATGTAAAATAAAAGTTATGTATTTAAAAAGTATTCCGTTAATAAGAGAATTTACTTCATTCTCATTAAACGAGTGAGGATAAACATATTTTATTATAATAAATGATTAAAGCGAATAAAAAACATGATATAGTTTGACCATGTGAACAATAGACGTGAAATTTATTTAAGAACGGATGAAAAATAATTAAAGATAATGGTTAGACCGTGTACGCATGTTTAGGCCAAATATATATAATCCGTTCATGCATTGTCTATCTTTGTACCAATTAAGATTATGATATGCAATGCACTAATCCACATTTATATTAGAGGACAATTAGTAGCTAACACGATTAATCTTTGTCGTCATTGTGTGTGTTGGTTCATTTCTTGGTTAATTGTACAAGGTTTTCCGTACTAGCGACAAATTTATCATGGGATTTAATTTGTACACATACATCCGTATATATATACTCCCTCTGTCCCAGGAAACATGAAAGTTTTGGTTTTGGAGAGGGATTTAAGGGGAGTGTATTTTGGTATTGAATTTTCAAAAATGTCCTTTGATGTGATGGGTAAAAGTATAATTTGATGGATAGATTATTAGTAAAAAGATATGATGCATGTGATAGGTAGGGTATGAAAAAGTAAGGGGTAAAAGTGACTTTTTAATAGAAATGAGAAGTGTTTTTTGGGACGGATGAAAAAAGAAAGGAGAAAGGTTTTCTGGGACGGAGGGAGTATATCCCATTATCCCTATGGTTGACGACGGGCTCGTTTGGGAATAACGTTAAAGATTAGCGTTAGCGTTTTGTTTAAAATTTTAGTGGTACAGATTACTTTAAAAATGCTAACACTAAACACTACCCGTAGATAGCATTTTCAAAACGCTAACGTTAATCTCTAACACTATTCCTAAACAAGCCCGAGATATGCAACCTTAATTTGAAGTACTTAATAAATAAACAAATAAAGAGGTTTGCACTACTAATTTTAATGTCATATACATAGTTTACTAGGATAACATAACACACTCTTGTAATATTACTTAAGAAAATTATGAATATAACAGCTCAGTGAACGTGAATATACTGATAGTGATGAACACGTAGTTCGTAGTGACGTGTTAGTATACTAATTAAGGAAAATGTATCTTTAGATTCATGTATCAGAGAATTTGAGTTCATATCTCTTAACCTTATAGCATAAAAATCGAGGAAGAGTGATTGGAAACTTGTTGATTGACACTTTTTTTGTTGGAGTATATATACTGACAATGGTAAGTGAGTATATAGATTATAGAGTGACAATGGTTGGGATTTAATTTGTCATAAGGCGATTTATGATTATAGTAATGGACATCAGTGATTATGATAGACGAATAGTTTATAGTTACTCTGTATAGTACTCCCTTCGTTCCCCAGTTTTTGTCTACTTTTAACTTTTGGAACTGTTCATCTAAGCACTTTGACTCATCAAATTCTCTCAATGTGTAAGTCTAAATATAGTCTTGTTGATCTTGTTTGATTTGTCTTAACATATAAATTATTAATATATAATTTCTATAATTTTTTAATATACAAATTACAAGATAAAATGGATTAAAGAAGTGCATTGGATGATGTGCAAAAATGAAAGTGGAAAAAAACTGGGGGACGGAGGGAGTATATGATATATTGGCCCATTTTGCATCAACGTTAGAGGTTAGCGTTAGAATTTTGAAAAGACGACTATCGCACGGAAGCTTTTAGCATTACATTTTGTCATTTTTAGAATCAATCTACACCGTTAAAATTTTATCTAAAACACTATTCGCTAAACAAAAACGCTATTTCCAAACAAGGGCATAGTGGTGTTTGTTAGCGCTATCAAATAGCAACACAATGTAACAATAGAAGTCGTTGGTACGTGATAGTTTATATATAATTAGTTGTGATATTGATCGATAATGTACCGAATGTGGTGATAATAATTTATAGGTTTTGATTCGGGGAATACAAATTTTTTTACAAGTAATGTTTTAAGTCCACCATCTCAAAATTTTTAATTTTTGTCAAATTTTTACTGAATCTATTATTGTAATTAAATCTATTATTATTGTAATTCTAACTAGATAAAGAATAGAAAAAGATTATTAGAAATTAAACATATACCTTGAAGCAATGAAGTCTTGGTGAGTGAGAGACAAATAGTAGTGTTCTCCTCCAATCAAATGTGGACACCCCATCTTCTTCAAGGACAATCTCTTCCTCCCAATCTCCTATATATACTTCCAACTTCCTTCCCTATTTTTCTTATTCCAACTCCTTCATTAATTTTCCACTTCTCCTCTTCTTCTTCTTCTTCAAATATTTCCACTCAATATATCATCATAAAATCCAAAATACATAGTAATAAGTCACATTTTAATTTATTATTATTATTATTATCATTGTCACATTTTGATCCTACACTGAAAGAAAATGAACTCAACACCAAGTTTCCAGGAGCTGGACAACAACAATGCATTGCCAGTGTCGGCGGGATCAATCTTCGACATCCCGCCACTCCCGAGGCGCTCTTGTCCACCTCTCAGGAGAATAAATTTCGAGATGTGCACGGAGGGCCTCGGGAGTGAAAACGGGGCCCGCATTTGTGAGAGCGTCGACGAGCTTTTCTCTCTCTTACTGGAGAACGACAAGTCCCCGCCGTTCTCCGGCGCCGGAGGCCGCCGGAGGTCAAAGAAAGCTGACCACCGGACTCCGATAAGCTTCCCGCCTCCCCTCTCTTCAATGAGCGGCTGCAATGGTGTCCAGGTGAGGCCCCGCCGTGACGGCGGCCGTTTGGTCATGGAGGCTGTTACGGTGTGCAGGTCCTCCTTCGTGACGGAGAGGTCCGGCGGGAGGCTCCGGCTGTGGCTCAAAAACGCCGGCGATTATAGAAGTAATGATGTTATAGACGAGGAAAAGGAAGAAGAGAAGGGCGGCGCATGCCTTGAAGCCGCCGGTGACGCCGTTATTTCATCATCGGCGGCGAAGAGCAGGTGCATGGAAAGTGATCCTCACAACAACGGGAATCACATCAGCTGGACTGGGTCCCAGCCGTCCTGTTACGTGGCCATTTCTTGATGATGTCATTTGTGGTTTAGGGCCCCACAATCCAATGACATGGAATGTGTTGAAAATAATTGGAATATTCTTTCTGAAATTGTTCTGTTTGAAAAAAAAAGGAAAGTTCTACGGTACGGTGTTAGGTGTACCATATGTTACTATGCGGGTACGGTTGAAAGATTCTAATAATTTAATCCAATAGATTATTAATGTAGTGTTATTATTAATGATTAATCTTTATTTAATTTGTAATCTAGCCTCTTAATAGGTTTTTTAAAAGACTTGCTCTTTTGTTTCTTACTATTTTGGACTAATATGATAAATTATTAAAGAGATTTGTCTTTCCTTTCTCTTGGACACTAAATTAGAACTTCAAATTATAAAAGTAAATCTGTCAAAATAGGAGGAAAACATATTCTTTATCCATAAATATGAGTGATGCGTTTGCACTGTAAGTGACAATGTGACAATGTATGTATAGTATGTTGCCACTTCATAATATTTATTGGTAATATATGATAACATTACTACAATTGTAACTTCCATTTTGATAATAACATTGAACGTACTCGTATTTTGTTAACTTTTAAAAGATGAGGTGATGTTAATTAACCCGACATTTTATTTCTAGTTTAGCCTTTTTCCACAATATATACTCTAATATATATATATATTCTTTGCATTCTATCTCCTTGCACATGTGCTTTTTACAAAAATTAATCTATACGGTATATATTGTGGTTAACTATGAAAAAGATAATTTTGAAAAATACTTGCTCCCTCTGTCCGACGAAGCTGGAGGCAGCGATCGATGGCGCATGAGGAGGAAGCCTTGAAAGAGGTAGAAGACACCACGACTGCACGAGGATGATGTGCGTGATTGAAAATACTCAAAATAGAGGAATTAGTCAAGAGTAAAAGAGACATTTTTAAATAGTACTCCGTAATAAAGTGTGTTAATAATATCTTTAAGATATATGGAAAAAGTATATCATAATTAAATGAGTTTTTTTCAGAGTATAAAAGTCATACAAATTCGTACTTTTTTTTCCCTTTGTCCATTGCAAATCTTCTTAAGCATTTGTGCTTTGTCACTTTCTCTGCGGAGTCAAAATGTCAAATACTAATTGAATAAAAGACTGTTCGGCCTCTCCTATTAGTTATTTGCATGGACGTGCGTTTTCTTTGTTATTTTTCCCCTTCTTTCAATCATATGATCTCTTTTGAAACAGTATCCAGACACGGATTAACCTATGTGTATCCCAAGATTTCTATCATAATTTGTACACCCTAGGTTTGTAACTTTATTTTGTGTCAGTGTAATTCTAAGGTGATAGTTCACACAGATGTGAATAATATAATTAATTCTAGCTTTGAACAATATAATAGTTCACATAGTTTATATATCCACTAGTTTTGTAAGATCTTCAGATGTAATTTTTAAATATGTAATTTTATTTTTAAATTTTATAGCATTTTTCATATAAAATGATTTGAAAATAAATTCAGTCAAATATCGTAAAACGAAAGAGACAATCTAAATTGGACAGATAGAGTACAAAACAATGTTATGTTTTTAATTTTTTTATTACAATAAACTCTTACTTTTTTTATTTCTTTCTAAAAAAGTTACGTTAGACCGAACCGAACTAATTGAACTTAAATGCACCTTATTAGCTTGGGGAATATAATACTTCCTCCATCCCAAAAAGATATACCCGTTTCATTTTTTTGCGTATCTCATAGAACACTGTTATCTCGTGTCAAATGACAAAAAAACTTTTAAAACAACTTCTACTCACAATAATGAGTAAATATGGTAAATTTCAGATATTTTAGATGTGCGTATGAGGATTTTATGGGATGCACACAAAATGAAATGGGTAGATCTTTTTGGCAAGGAGGAGGTATATGTGATGATCAATCTAGCTACCTAACCAAACTAATACACACCACATGCATGAGTCCTTTGAGGTGAGCTAGCTAGCTAGTACTGGTGTTTTTCTTTTCATAAAGTTTTGGAGGAAACCATTAGTCCAAACATATAAAGGGGTTTTAGCTAGGTAGCTAGCTAGGTAGCTAGCTATAGTGACGACATATCTTTTGTGAACCTACCTACTAATAAAAATTGTGGTTTTGAAAAGAGTTTTTGGGGGTGGATGCATGGGGGAGGACACGCATCCCCCAATAATCACCTTTTTGGTGTGACATGGTGGCTCCGCCGTGGGACGTGGTGGCTCCACCGCCCCAAGCGTTTTCGGAATCTCATTGGCTGGGCATGGGATATCACCCCATTTTCATGGGGGGGAGCATTCATAGTTGCCTCCTTAGTGCTCCGTACTTTGGCTTGTACTCAACCAATCCCAACCCCTTCTCTCGATTCTTGTCGATCTTCTATCCACCCTTCGTCACCATAGCTATAGAGTAATATCACTACTTTTCTCATTAGTAATGTCACAAATTTTATTTACTACGTTCTATTATCATACTTTTTCCGTCTTGTAAAATTCCCGACGTTTTAATTTTACCAACTGTTTGAGAGCTCGAGTTCATCTGAAATCAATATTTTTTAAATTCTTTGAATTCAAGTGCTTGAGCAAGTGTTTGATCGAGAACTAGAATTCAAATCGAAATTCTTTGAATTCGAAACAATAATTTCGATCGAATCCAAACTTAAAATCTATATTCGAGCTTCCAAACACACCGTTACCGATTTTTAAAAAGTTGTTTAAATGTAAAAAATGTATGATTAGAATTTGTTGAAAAATGCTAGGGGTAAATCAAATGTGTACCCCATTTGTCCCCCACCCCCCTCCTTGTCCACAAAAAAAGGCAAGAAATTTAAAAAAAAAAATAAATAAATAAATAAAAATAAAATAAAAATGGGTGGTGGAGAGGGGGTGTTGTACATTTGGGGTACACCTTTGGTGTACCCCTAGCATTGCTCGAATATGTTTGGATGGGAGATAATTGTTACCAAACACAAATTCATTATCTAAATAAAGATAGCATAATTAAATTTAAGAAAAATAATCTTGAATAATTACATGGAACTTTACCCATTTTTTCAAAAATTATCTTACCTTTCACTGTTATGCATAATAATCATAACTTTACTTAAATTTACGAGTTTTAGGTCGTCATTAATTTATTAACGGGGGTGGGGGTGGGGATAACGGAAACGATTTTTTTTGCGCGACAACATGAAAGTTGGGATTACTTTTTATAATTTTTTTTATTTTTTAAAAAATTTTCATATAAAGTTTTAAAATAATCCCAACTTTATTTCATTAATTTTATATGATTTTAGTTGTTTTTATCAATTTCTTTATTTTTTATATCTATTTTTTATTTTTTTCTAAGGTAAGACTAATCTTTAAAAAAATATAAAGAAATGGAGTTAGAAAGTCATCTAAAAATTTAAAATAGAATTTAAAAAAAATAAAAAAATGAAGATTCATAAAAAATAATCTTAATTTTCATTTTGTTGTGCAAAAAAAATTTTTTCCGCTAACCCGCTATTAGCAACTTAATAGGGACACAAAATTCTCAAATTTCAGTGAAGTTAGAATTATAATATACCAAAGTGAAAGATGAGATTATTTTTAAAAGTCTGGATAAAATTAGAATCATTTCAAATAATTTTTTCCTTAAATTCAAAAATCTTTTGAAACGACCTCACATTCGAGTCAAGTCAACAAATACCAACAAATTCAAAGTACCATTGTAGTCAAGTCAACAATGACAGCAAAGCTATTTTTAACCAATACTGCGGTTTGATGGTTTGGGCATATACAAATAGTAATTACTCTTACAAATAGTAAGAGTATTAATTACTCTCTCATCGATTAATTATTTTTCTTCTTATTTTTCGGCTTTAGAATTTTCACTCAAAATATTACTCTCTTCGTCCTATATCTTTCTTCTCGTTGCGCAAAATGAAGAAAAATCACAAGTTTTTTCAATCTATTTTATTTAAATATTGGTATAGAAATAAAAAATAAATACGTATTTAAAAACTATATCAAAAGTTCAATAAAACAAGTGGTGACAAGAATATTTTATTTTATCATATAGGCATTGAAAAAACACAAATAAATATAAATTCCCGTGAAGTTAAAATAGTGCTCTGGGAAGAAAGTTTTAGGACGGAGGGAGTAATATGGTATCTTCTCAGCAAATACGTATGTGATATATTTGAGTACCTAATTATTTTATGAATCTTAGTACATAAGTGCTATGTAAGAATCAAACTTTTTATAAAAGATAAAAGATGTGCTTGTAAACTTCTGAAAAATGTAAGAAAATCCAAATTTCTTATGTAGACCTTAGGACTATGAAAGTACAACTCATATTTCTTTTTTTGAACACTAATAACTCTATTACAATATAGTATCTATTCATATATTCTCAATTTATTAAAGCTCGTAGAGTTACTGCCCGTACTGGAAATCGAACATATTACTTGTTTGGGAGAGTCATAGCAGTGTCATTGGTCCTTGGCACTCGTATTCCTTTTACTTGTTTCATTTCCTTATTCGTTTTATCTAACCCAAACTACAAATTTATTTATTTTGGAATTTTCTTTTTGATGTAGGCTAAATTGGAACTCAAGTTTAAAAAAAAAAGAGATTGAGTTTGGGCCAAAGTCCAAACCTAACACTAGTAACAAATGTTAGATGACAGCCCAAAGCTTTCTCGTTTAATCGGACAAGCGGAAGCCCAACAGCCAAAATCAGCCCAGCTTTCATCGTCATCTTCTTCGTCTCTACCAAAGTAGCAGGAGCCCAACGTTGCCCAAGCGCCCCCATCTTCGTCGCCCAAAACCTCTGTCAGAGGGAGGAGGACGGTAGAATCCAGTAGCCTCAAATTTGTAGAAAATCCCGCACTTTCTTCTCAGGTAACTCCAAATAAATGATCTTTGCTTTAGATTTTTGATATTTCTTGTTGATTTCATAGCACTAGTGTTGATTTCAATTCAATTTCATGCTTCTTATTTGATTGTTTATCAATATTCCGAAAATGATTGATAAGTACATTGTTTGGCGGTTAATTTTGAAGACGGAGGAAGATGAAGTTCCAAATTGAAGGCGTAGAGGTGTATTTCCCCTACGACAACATATACCCGGAACAGTACCAGTATATGCTGGAGCTTAAACGTGCCCTAGATGCTAAAGGCCACTGCCTTCTTGAGATGCCTACCGGCACTGGGAAAACCATAGCTTTGCTGTCATTGATCACCAGTTACCAGCTCTCCAAGCCGTCCGATAGGATTAAGCTCCTTTATTGCACTCGAACTGTTCATGAGATGGAGAAAACTTTGGCTGAACTCAAGGCTCTGTATC